GCGACACTGAGGTAGATGAGGAGCTGTCAGTGGCTGATGCCTGATGTTCGCTGTTTTCTTCTGTCGCCTTCTTTTCCTCTGCTTATTTTCTTTTCTTTTTTTGTCGGAGTTTGATGCTGCTTCAGGAATGATTCTGCTTTAGAGAGAGAGTCAGTCTTTTCCTTCTTCTCTTTGTAGTTAACTATAAGACCTTCTGGTAAAATCCATCGGTATTGGACATTGTTCTTTTGAAGGAATGTTGTGATGTTTCTGTATTGCTTCTTCTTCTTACATATTTCAAATGAAACATCTTTCAGTATTTTTATCTCTTCCTCTTGGATTTTTAATGTTGTGGCAGTAGAAGCTTTAAGTATCGAGTCTCTTGTTGATCTTTTTGCAAATGTAACAAATATTTCCCCTGGAAGATTATTTTTTCCTACAAACTCTGAATAAGTTCTATAAATCATGTCTATGTCCGCTTGTAATATTTCAGGTTTGCTGTTGATCAGAGAGGGCAATGCTTCACTTAGGATTTCTCTTAAATTTTCATCTTTTTTCCGGTACCCCTTGAAATCTTAAAACATATAGGGATCTTTCCACTTGCAGTTGTAGTAATTGTTGTTTTTCAGAAGCTCTTTCTTTATCAGCAGTGTCCATTCTTTGATCCATCTCTTTGGTTTTAGTTTCAACCTTTTTTAGCTTTTTGACCGTCTTCTCTGATTTGTCTTTGGTCTCCTTCAGCTCCTTCTGCAAATCATCAAATTTCTTATTGAGATTCGCCAGCTGATCCAGCAGGGCGCGCAAGGCTTCAGAAATCATACCAGCTAAATCAGTGGTAGTTTCCGGTCTTGTGACCGTTGATGCTGTGCTGGCGCTTCCTGTGGTGCCTCTGCCTCTGGATGCCATTTTTCCCCTTCGCTGCGACATTGTTTGCATTAAGGTAAAAGTTCTTAAAAGTTCTAAGGTTTTTCTCTGGACTGAATAACGAGCCCCACTGCGATCCACTTGGGTTGGGTGGGTTTCTAACAGTTTATTGTCGACTTGCTTCCCATTGCGCTGCTTTCTGCGCTGTAGGATAGGGTTCTTCCTCCCAAGAGTCCCCCCTCCTTCTCTATGGGCCTTTGCCGTCTCACTGTCAGTTCCTCCACCCTCTTTACTTTTGTCCTTCTTTTGAAACTTGTTCACTCACTATTTTTTTTCCTGTTGGGTGTCATCCCGTAGGGAGAGTCCTTTTGCTTAAGTCCTTGCAGACTCTGGTCCAGTAATGTCTCTGGTCACCATTACTGGCCTGGGGGCAGCGGGACCTTAAGGAGCTAAAAAGAGCCTCAATCCTTCAGCTGCGGCTTTGGGAGTGGCTCCTCCAGCGCTCCAGGCTAGAAGCTCCCCACAAGAGCTTCAGGGGGGGCTCGAAGGCTTCCGAACCCCCTCCCTGCAGCCTCAATCCAAATCTGACCCATCAGAGCTTGAGGGAGTGTGTTCATGAGTTGCCGAAAACCGGAAGCGGGGAGGGCTTTCCAGGACCCCGTGCTTTAGCGCGACCCTGTGAAGACAGGGAGGTTGGGGAGGGCTTTCCAGGGCATAGAAAGACGGGGGGAATCCACAACTTACCTTACTTCTTCTTTCATCTCCCTGCCGACTGAGGGGAGGGCTGCTGGGAGCAGGGGGCGGGGCTTGCTACATGTCCCCGCCCCCTGGCCTCCTCTCTGCTGGAGCGTTGCTCTGGTGAGCTCTGAGGTGAAACGAGGCCTGATAACAGCAGCCAGAATTTTATTTGCAATGACATGGAGGACACTGAAGATCCCAACGCTGTATGAGTTGATAATGAAGATTATGGAATGTGCTGAAATGGACAGATTTACAAATATATTAAAGGGAAAAATGGAAGAGGAATTTATGGGACCGTGGAGGGTGTTTTATGACTGGCTAAAACTTAAGTACTGAGAAAATAAGATTAAATGAAGAATAACAAGAATGAGGGATATAGTAGTTGTGAAGCTCTAATGAGAAGATTTGCATGCAGAATGTTAAATTGTATTTATATATATATATTTCTATATCTTTCCTTTTCCCTTCTTTCCCCTTTCCCTTTCTCTGTGCATAAACTAATAAAATTCTGAAAAAACCCTAAGTCTGTACTTGACGTAGGCTTTGTACTGTGTTCTACCCACATACTTACAGTATCAAAATTAAAATAAGTGTTTATGCTGAGAAACTGTCCTATTTTTATTGCACTTGGTGCCTTAACTGTTTTAATCCTGTTGTATTTTATTGCACAGTTGTGCCTATGTAAGCCGCCCTGAGTCCACTTGCGGGGAAGGTGGGGGTACAAGTGAAATAAAATAAATAAATAATCTAGCTATTTCGGAATCAACAATAGGATTATTGTGCTGGGAGTCAGAAATGAAGTTTGTCTTTGAGCAGTTTACTATCTGCTGTTAAATGTCTTGCATCTACATGAAGATGTTCACAAAAGGACAAAGTAGAATGAGCAAGGTTAAGGAAAGAAGTTGTTTGTGGTTTAAATAATATTCCTTGGAAATGAGGGAATATGCGTGCGTTTCTTCTTAATCTTTTTTTCCTCCCCTATATTCCTGAAATAGGAAAGAAGCCCATAAATAACCAAAGGGAGCTTACGTGTTCTGAATCAGCATCACCAGCAGATGACCAAATGCATAACTTGGGACCAGGATCTCCCTCTAGGGAGCAGGAGTACCGAAGGGATGACAGAAGTAAAACATCCCCTGATAAGATGGGTGAGGGAGCCTTGCTTCTCAGTGACTTCCAAAATAATAGTTTGGGGCCCAGCATGGAAGTACACATGATTTAGTCGAGTATTTCCAGGCTGTAGGTTGGAAGATGGCACAACAGTTTAAGGAATTTTCTCTGGTATGTTTGCATCCACTTGTCAGTTTCTTTTAACTAAGCTTCAGTGGTGGATTGCCTTATGATTGGTTGTTGGTTGGTTGGTTGTTTCGTTATCCTTCTCGGAGGGGAATGATTTAAGTGGATTTTTGGAAGTTTGATAAGATGATATCAACTGAGTATTATGGCATTCTGATTAGCATGTTGATGTGTTTTTCTGTGGGCAGAGGATGGGTGCTTGTAATTTTAAAGTTGTGCAAACACCCTGAATATGAAATCATCTGTGCTTTGTTTTTGATGTGCACGTTTGTGTTTTTAAGATGGTGGCAGACAAGTCGGCCAAAGGGATCCATCTTTAGTTGTTGCATTTATTTGTAAGGTAAGAGTTGTTCTTAAGAATAAGATCTCGCAATTGTTGTAATGCTTCTGTTTTACAAACAAGGTCAATGGTATCTTCCTTGAGAATAATTTTCTAATAAAGTCAAGCTTCCTGGGTAATGTTTTTGCTTCCTGGCTAGTGCTTCAGTAGACCTAGAGAACTCAGGGTGCATCTTTATTGCACACTTTCCCTATCTTCCTATACTGTCTTGTTTGTACTTCTTGTTCAAAGAAGTACAAAGCTGCTGTCTTTAGTCTGTTTTTAAGGAAATCTGATTTGAATAGCACGAAAACTTAACGTATTGAAAAACAGTAGTTTCCAAAAAGGTGCTGTTCATTGAAAGTATTACACTGCTTGGTTATGAGTCTGTTTGAAACACGGCTGCCTGTTGGGAGGAAATTTCGATGCATTTTCAGCTTTTACTTTTTAATCTGGTGGTTCTAATAAGTTCAGTTGGTTGAGAGATATTTTGGGGACTTTTTTGGGGGGGGGTTGTCTGATGTGATGTCAGCTTGTTTCTTACCCTTTCAAGTAACTTAAAACATTGCCAGGAAGAAGTGATGAAATGAATATTGCTTACCCACAGCTCCATCCAAAGAAAGGGAACTTTCTGGTGCTTAAAGCAAAGGATCTTGGCTTGCCTGTGTAAGTACAGAATATTTTCCAGTAATCTTTTGTAGACAAGAGCATCCCATACCTTTATGGCTGGCTGAATTTTTTAATTATCTCTTGTAGGGGCACAGCAGCAATTGCCCCGATCATTGCAGCAGTAAAGGAAGGAAAGAGTGTCATATTTGAAGGCAAAGAGGTATTTTTAAATAAAAACCTAGAAACCATTTTTCCTGACATGTGAGGCCAAGGTGGCTTGCATACTACAGTGTGTATGTTAATAGAACCATATAAATTCTGTTCCATCCCCATTAAGTTTCCCAGGGAATTGTTTTACTCAGAGGTATCTGATTGTGTTTTTAGCTTTTAGTTATTACATCATGGATATAACCAAGCAGGACTTATACTTGATAAGTGTGAAGAAGCACCATGTGAAGCATTTGTTTGTTTTTATTCCACTCTGTCAGTGGGAATCTCTGAATTGTTGAGGTTGTGCTGGGTGGTGGTTGTTATTATCATTGTATGGCAGTGTGTGTAGTATAGCTAGGAGATCTGAAGATTGTCTGGCAGCCAGAAGTTCTAGCTCTTTAGTGTTAATCACCACTAGGTGGCATGCTAGACTTATTTTTAAGGCAAGAGATGTTTCAGAGGTTGTTTGCCATTGCCTGCCTCTGTCAAATTTCCTGTTTTGGAGCTCAAGTATACCATTGTTGGGACATGGTTATAGTATTCTCCAGCAGAATATAAATAGCTTGTCCATCCATACTAGTACGCACCGTGTAGTAGTACAGCAGATTTTATGAACATTTGTAGTATACACTTGTGAAGATTGGGGTTTTAAGTCCATTTAAACAGAGGTAGTGTGCTGTGTAGTTTGACTAGAGTGGTCTCTACCCCAGCCTTCTGTTGACACACTGAACTCAAGTGGTCCTCTTAAGTGCAGTTATTTCATATGAGAAATATGAGAAAAATAATTTATGTTCACTACCAGGGACAGGGGAAATAAGGGTATTCAGTAAAGAGGCTTTAAAACTATTAACACGTAGCACACAGCTTTTGCTAGATGCATTAATTTATGTTTTGGTTGTCAGTTCCTGCAGAACAGTAATCACTCAAGCTTGTATTCTTTAGGGGAATGCTAGCTTTCCCTGAGACTCCGATTCTCACAGTATCAATGTGAGCTCTTCCCAGAAACCTCATATCTTTAACCAGTTTCCCACAGAACTTGGTGCTGAGACACTACAGTCTCTTCCTAAAGTGTTCACTGTGCTATTTTGCTTTTCCATAAAAGATATTGAGACTTCCAAAGTCTCCCAAGAAAGTATTTGTGCATACAGAGGGATAGGCTGAAAAGCCAGTCTCCAACTATTCACTGATTTCGCCTGCTTGCACTCATTGTGAGAGACCTAGGCAGTTTCCTGGGGATGGGTTCTTTCCCACCTAATACTCTGGAGACAAAAACCCTGTGTGATCTGAGCTGACAGTGTAGCAGAATTTTTTCTGTCACTTCTGTTAAAAAAGTGTTCCCTGCCCAACCTAGACTGAAGACTTTCCCCCTGAGAGGCTGGCTAGCTAGAAACTACAAGAGGTGTTAAAGGCACCTGTGCACCTATAACCTGGGTAGGCTACCACCAGTCCTTCTCTGTTCTTCCGGTCAGGAGTCAAAGGACAAACTCCTGACCTTACCAGGATTAACTAGGGTTCAAGCAATGTTGCATAGTTATAGGTAGGCCTACAAAAGGATGATTTCATTGGTTCTCTGGTCATGTCAGAAGAGCAAGTGGTATGATCTGCAGCTTCACATCACCCCGTCTCTCACAGGACTTAATTGAAATGGAATGGTAATTGAAGAGCCAAAGCTGAAGAACATGTTATCTTGCAGGTTCAAGGTCATTCCACCCTCTCATGGCATGTCTGTGTGAAACTCTGGAGACATAGATCCAATAATTTTAACAAACTCAGGCCACAGCCAAACTGAACCACACTGTTAGAACAGAACTCCATTTTGAATGAACCAAAATTCTTGACAACTTCCCCTGCCTATCTGGCGTCTTCAGCCATCTATGGGCCTTGATTGTCTGTTAGCTGTTCTTCATATGTGAGATTGGTGACTGACCGAAAGGGGACTTTGTGCATCCATCACAACGCTAATCTCTGTGCTTTGTTGCAGATCTTGGCTGAAGAACTTTGCACCCCTCCAGACCCAGGTGCAGTCTTCATTGTTGTGGAGTGTCCTCATGAAGGCTTTGTAGATGCAGTCTGTGAAAATGCTACATTGCGAGGGTATGGCTGAGATGGGGACATGTCTTTATAGTCAAGATTTGGGAGGGGTTAACTGCGGCATTTCCTGCCACCCTTGTGCTGGTAATCATAGAATCATAGAATGTTAGAGTTGGAAGGGATCTTGCAGGTCATCTAGTCCAACCCCCTGCACTCTGCAGGAGCATAACGGAAAGAGAGCCCTACAACATACCCGAATGATTTTTAGTGGCATACAGTTAAAGGTGTTTGACCTAGCCAGATATTGGCTGGTGAGGGAGGAAGCCACCACCACATCCAGGATCCTGTTCCTCCCATGAGTTGTGTGCCTCCCTGCCCCCCCTTCCAGTTGTCTCATTCATCTTGAGAGTATGTGGCCGCTCCACAGTCTCAGCATGACTACTTACACATTAAATGCTTTGTTGCAGATATCAAGAAGGGAAGCAGGAGAATCCTGTGGCTTTGGTTGTCCACATAACCCCAGAGCCTGTTTTACAGGACAGTCGGTATAAGCAGTGGCTAGAAAGGTTTGTGCATAGTATGTAACATTCAGTTGACAAGCAGTCTTGCTGAGCTGGGCTGGAGTTGGGTCACAGGCACATATGGGATTTCATCATCATGTGTTAACTTCATATCTGTGTTGAAGTGGCTAATTGTGATATGGTGCTGGCTGAAAGGATAATGGCCACATTTAGCATTCATATAATGCTTTTTGAGTGTTGAACGTGCTTCTCATCCATTATCTCAGTGATCTTTACAACTCCTATGTTTGTTAAGTCAGTGCTTTTGCAGATGGGGGGAGCAGACTGGGACTGGGGAAAGTGAGCACTACGGTCATGTAGTGAGTTCAGGACTGCAGTAAAAGAGGGTCTTACCGGCCACTGCAGTGTGCCAGCTCTGAAATTTCCTTGCTTTGCAGGCAGTTCTGTATGGGTGAAAATCCTACAAATCAGAAAGTGTAACTTGCATGAGTGGAACCTTTCATATCTGTAATCCTGCCTGTGTCTGGTCTTTTCCCTTACTAGCATAATTGTTAGGGTTACCAGCTGTGTGTTAGGAAACTTCTGGAGATTTGAGGGTGGAGCCTGAAGAGGGGAGGGACCTCAGTGCGGTATAATGCCACAGAATATGCCCTCCAAAGCAGTCATTTCCTCCAGAGGATCTGATCACTGTAGTCTCTGGAGATAAGTTGTAATTCTGGGAGATCTTCAGGTCTCACCTGGAGCTATGCAACCGTAATAATTGTGCTGTTCACTGTGTAAGTGTTCATTAACACAACTCAAAGGAGAGATTAAAAAATAGCACTAGTCAGGGAACGAGCAACCTCTGCCCTGAAAAAACAAACCAACTTATCCTAGCATAATTCATACCAGGAAAAGATGTGTGTGAAAAGTGAGAGCATGGTAGGGCTGGTGGTACAGAATGCGGCAGCTAGAATGTTGACTGGAGAGGGTTGGAGGAACCATTATCACTGCAGTCTTGTTGCACCTGCAGTGGCTTCCAATTCGCTTCTGGGCAAATTTGCTTCAAGGTGCTGATGTTGACCTTTAAAGCCCTGTACAGCCTGGGACCAACTTACATTAAGAACCGCCTTCTCCCATACCAGCATACCTGCTCACTCCAGTCATCCTCGAGGGCCCTGCTTCAGTTTCCTCCACTATCTCAGGCTAAATGGGTGGCAACCTGACAAAAGGGCCTTTCCTGTTGTGTCACCAAAACTTTGGAACTCTCTCCCAGGGAGATTTGTCTGTCTCTATCAGTATCTTTTGCCAGTAGATGAAGACCTTTTTGTTCTATCTGGCATACCCCCAGTAATGGTTTTTGGCCCTTCTAGTTCTCTGTGTTTGTGTTTTTGATAGCATTTTAATAATTTTAATTGCTTAAATGTTGTAATGTTTTTATGTGGACCTTGTGGACCCTGATTGGCGGGAAAGACAGCATATTCTTAAAAAAAAAAAAATAGGGAGCAGACCATGTAGCCGAATTGTGTTGTAAGCAGTAGGAACTATGACTGTGCTATTTATAAGTGGTGTGCCCCACAAAACTCTGGCACTGACATCAGGTTTTAATTGAAATCAGACACTCATCATTGCTGCTTGTTCCACCAGTTTTGGAGCTGATACTCAGCACTTAATTCTCAATGAGAACTCCCAGTCAGTGCACAATCTCCGCAGCCACAAAATCCAAACCCAGCTCAACCTCATCCATCCAGAGATCTTCCCGTTACTCTCCAGCTACCAGAGCAAGGTAAAATCTTGGCCTGTCTGGAAGGGCATGCCTTTCTCACTAGGTGTGGGAACATATTTAATTTTTTTCCCTGTCTTGTCCATCCATCAGAAAGAAGAAGCTACATTCAGTGTGCCTGTTATGCGAGGAGAGTGCCTCCTCAAATACCAGCTGAGGCCCAAGCTAGAGTGGCAGAGGTTGGTGGGCTCTTAAACGTTCTTTTTTGGGTGGAGGTGGAGAGTGGTAAGGCCTTTTTCTCTTACACGATAGCATCTGATGGGGAGAAGCGGATGTTACCCCAGTGGGTTGAATCCTACCATTTCATTCCATTTGGGCCTGTGTGTTCCTCTGCTGCGCCGGCATGGATGCTGAGAGCTCTCTGTTTCTGGAGAGCACCTCACTGTAGAGGAAGAGGTGGTCGCTGGCAGAATGAAACGATAGGATCCAACCCAAGGAACACTTCTTTGTCTCATTTGTCCCTCTTTCTCATAATGTCTAGTTTGACATAATGTAGTAAGTGATATGCACAGTTATGTGTATGGCTGATGGTTATGGGTACGGATGGTATGTTGTCATTGGGTGATGCGTCTGGGCAACAGTGTGATTTACATGTCCTGTGTTAAACTAGATGTTACAGAATACAGGGGGAGAATCAGGCCCATAGCCTTGGGGGGCATTTGGGGGTGGTCTCCCCCACGGATGAGCCACAGACCCCCACCCCCGGTGCACCACACTCCTTATCCTGCCCGCTGCAATCTCACTAGCTCTTCCTGCTCGGCTGCAGCAGGAAGAGCTGGTGAGGAGCAGTGAGATGCCAGGGCAGGCCATTCTCTATGCCTCTGGTGGAGGTGAGCTCGTGGTTCTGCTCCTTTCTCCTCAAGAGTAAGAGGAGCAAGAGGCAGCACTAGCTCACCTCCCCGCCACACAAGGCATAGGGAATGGCTCGCTTCAACTCTCCCTCAGCAGCAGCATAGCAGCTGGGCTGGCTGGTGCAGGCACAGTGAGGTGCCAGGGCGGGAGAGCTGAGGAGGCAGGCAGACAGGGTTGTAGGCGGCGGGCAGAAAGAGGTGTCATGATGCCTCTTTCTATTTGCTGCCCGCAGCCCTGCCTGCCTGCCTCCTTGGCTCTCCTCTCTCTCTCTGTTCCCAGCGCGCAGGAGGTTCCTCCACAAATGGAGAGGGAGAAGGAGAGTCACTTCTGAGTGATGTTACAAGTGACATCACCACATCTGGGACATGACCCCCCCTCCCCCAGCTGAAAATTTTCTGGCTGTGGGGCTGGGAGAATGCAGATATGAAGCCCTGGTAGTTCCGTGTCTTGAGAGATTTCATTCATCCCTCATCATTGCTTGTAATCTCAAATGATGGGCTCCTTTCAAGACTCTTCTCAACAGAGCTGCAATGATGATATGGCAGGCTGTCTGGTTCTGTGAGGAAATGACGGTGTGCCACATAGCCCCGTTACACAAAAACGTGGGTTGGGGGTATGTGTGTGAATAGTTTAAAAGAGAACCATGTTTTGAGCTGTACTCTTTACTGATGTATTGATTTCTACAGGATTGTGTGTAGAGTACCTGATATACTTGGGTGAAAGGAACAAATACTTTCTGAGGGTTGGTGTTTTACCTCAATAGAAAGAGCAATATTGGCTTGCAAAAAATTGAAATGCTCTGTCCTGACAAATGAAGATGTTTTTTGCTTCCATCCTGACTCCTCTTTCTTCCAGAGAGGCTGTTACTGCTTACAATTCTGCTGAGTTTATAGCTGAAGCCCTGGAGCTGCCTGACTTCCAGGAGACTGTGCAGAAGTGCAGAGAGAGCTTACAAGGCAAACTGGCATCATCAGGTGAACAAACTGTCTGTCTTATGCTTGAACACCAGTGTGGAAGGGAGATTGCATGTTTCATTCATGATAAGTTTTAGTTGCTGCAGGAACTTGTATTTCTGTGCTTCGACGTATGAGCTTTGGCATCTCAATTCTTAGCTTCACATTTGAAAGTTAGTATTTATAGGCCCTGTTCTTCTGTAGCTCAGATTGTATACCTGAGCCAGAGAAGAATTCCCTCTTAACTGTACAGTGTGTTGCTGCTGTGGTGGCTGGTGAGCTGGACTGGTGAGTATGCATAGAGAATCCCCCTTCCCCTTCCCAGGCACCTCAGATGTTTTAACAACTTCTGCAGCACCCTGGGAAATGTAGTGCTCAGGGCACCTGACCTCTCAGTGCTGTGAAAACAAACAAAACCTGTTGGAACCTGCTAGTCTCTAACACTTACTCAGATACAGTGACTAAAAGCTTGTTCTTTGCCATTGAATTGATGGTCAGAATAAGCAGATTCCAGCTGCCTTTCTTTCTTTTTAAGTTTGTTTCCCATGATAGTTGGATTTCAAATCTTTTGGGAGTACAGAGCACAACAGATTCCTGTGTTTTCTTCCCTTTTGTGTGGGGATATATTTGCCTAACCTTTCTTGTTGATTTGTGCTTGTAAAAATTTGCTGCTGTAGTCTGTCAACAAGAAATGAATGAGGGCTTGGGGGGGGGGTGAATGGTAATATGCATATGCTTTTGCTAAAACGGGCATTGTGAACAAACTGGAATTTTGTGACATAAAAGAGGTTGATGTTTAGGAGGCACATTTTTGTTGTACTATTAATAGCACTATGGGATCCTGCATATTTACTCCATAACAAGGGGAAGTTTAAAAGCAAACTGAAAGCTGCATTTTCTTTCACTAGAAAGTTCTACTATGTGAGCTGCAGTTACTTAGAGATCATCACTTTGACAACTGTTGGATTTTTTAGTACTTACTGTTCCACCCTTGTTCTTTCTGGTGTGTCCTGTTCCACTTTTGTAGCAAAAGTAGAGAGATAGAAAGATGGCCACTGTGGCTTTGATTCCTTTCCCCAGTGTACTTTTAAATTTGCTACTTGGCCAACCAAGTTACCGTAATTCTCTTACTTCAGTTTGAATCCCTAGTTTGCTTTTATGTTTTTCCCCCTCACTTAATAAGGCTTTGTTTAATCTTGATAGGTGGTGATAATGCAGGACTCTGGTTTGCAGGCATTCAAGAGCTTTTTCTGTTTGTTCTAGGAAATATGGATCGGTATCCAGAAGTTGTATTTTTAGGAACTGGCTCTGCAGTCCCAATGAAAATACGGAATGTCAGCTCAACATTGATAAATGTCAGGTATATAGTAGGATGTGGTGTGGTGTCTGTGCGTGGGTGAAGGCAATAGTCTTTTGGGGAGAGAAAGATGTGGATCTTGGAGTGTGTAAATGATGGGTTCCCAACAAGCATTTTTGGCATGTTCCTTAATGTGTGTCTTATTGGGTTAACGTATTGCCCGCTAGGTCGGAAAGGTGCTGCATTAATTTTTAATAGAAGTAAGTGCTCCTCAAACACAGTCGTGCAGTCCCTTTTGTAACAGAGGCTTTGGTTTTTCTTCAGGTGTCTGTTGTAGGTGCCTAGCACAGCATTATATGTCCCTCTGAAACTGACCTGCTTGGTCTCCTCACCTAATTAGTGGCAAAGCCCCTTGGCTTGTAACAAATAATTGATGATCAGTTATTTTAAAACTTTGATTCTCTTCTGTATTCACAAAGATTGCTCATAAGAGACAAAATGAGTTGTGTGAACCTTTTGGTTTTTCCCCACTGCATAACATGATGAGAGAGCAAAGGTGCATTCTAAACTCTGCAAAATGTAGTTGTTTGCCTGCTTGGGTGAAATATGTCTTTATACTGTCACTGGTACTTGTAATACAAACTTGCATCTGCTTCTCTCGCTAGCGCCACCCAGTCTCTGATTCTGGATTGTGGGGAAGGAACTTTTGGCCAGCTTTGCCGCCATTATGGAGATGATGTTGACCAAATCCTGTGCAACATTGCAGCTGTGTTTGTATCTCATATACACGCAGATCACCATACAGTGAGTATTGTATTGGGGTGGGCATTCTCCACCATTTTACATTGTGTCATTATCCTCAGGAAAGTGTCTCTTATATCATGATTCTTCCTATTCTCATTTCTTTCCAACATAAAGGAATAGTATAGACATAATGATGAACCAGGTTTTTAAAGAAATTTAGATATTTGTATGCTGCTTTTCTCTCCAATGGACACCTAAGCTAGCATTTAACACCCCCACCCCCCATTTTATCTTCACAGCAACAAACCTGTGAAGTAGGTTGGACTTTAGAATGTTTGACTGGCCTAAGATCACCCAAAGAGTTTCCATGGTAGAGTGGGGATTCGAACTTGGGTCTCCCAGGTCCTAGTCTGGCACCCTAAGCACAACACTGCAGTGGTTGCAACAGTTATGAGAATAAGTCAGGAGGATCCTTGGACAAGTGTTTTCCCTCATCCCTTTGTGCATGGTGATCTAGTGAACTCTTCCTGCTTTTGCCATGTGCCAGAGTTGATCACTGCATATGCCTAGCAGACATCACAGAGCAAACCTTATTTGGCGGTCCAGATGCCCTGACAAACAATAGTTTGCAGAAGTCTTTCCTTATACCTACTGCCCGCAAAGGGAGGGGGGAGCATGCAAGCCCCACATTTGTTTATGCAACAAGCCATGATGTTCACTGCATCTGAAGCATACCTACGTCACACCATATCGCTAGTTCTTCATTGTGGTAAACTCACTATGAAAAAAACTGAGATTGCATTGCCCAAATTTGCTGACCTATCTGAAATGGTATCTGACAGCAAGAATTAATTAATTAATGAATTAATTATTTCGACTTTTACCCTGCCCTCCCCGCCAAAGCAGGCTGCAGTTCGTTTTGTTTTGTTTTGTAACTGAAGACCTCCACAGACTCTGGTCATTTTTCTCCTTTCCTTTGTACAATCCTTAGCATTCTGAAAACACTTTGCATGACAGCATGTCATAACCTCTTCTGTAGAAGGAACTGAGTGGTTGGGCACCAGTGTTGCAGAAGTGCCAGCCAAGATCTGGGGAAATGTGGGTTCAAATCCCACTCTGTTGCTAAGGTCACAGGCTGAGAAGTAACATACTCTCTTAGCCTAACTACCTCACTGGAATGTTGTGTGGATCAATGCATGAGGCCCTGAATATATTAGGAAGAGTAGTATAAAATGTATTGGAAAGTATGTCTAATAACACTATATGAAAAAGCAAATAAGAATTGAACTGCTATTGTACTCAGGTCATTCTTATAGTTGTTTGAGGAGAGGTGTAAGGAACTGGCTGCTGTTTCTTTATCATTAGCTATTCTTCTGTTTCCTAGGGCTTATTGAATATCTTGTTGCAGAGACATCGTGCATTCGTAAGTAATGCTTTAAAGAAAAAAAATTGGGCTTTGCTAGGTTGTGGAGATTTTAGTGGATCAGCAGTACTGTGTACCAGGGTTGGTCCCTGCTCTTGGATCTGCTGTCTCTGTTGCATAACTCTGCCATTGTCTCCCATCATCTTTTCTCCTTTCTGCTCTCAGATGTCCAAGGGTCAGCCCTACAGCCCACTGTTTCTGGTTGCTCCCACACAGATCATGACATGGTTGCATCAGTACAATGACCATTGCCAAGAAATCCTAGGGCACATGAAGTGAGTTGTACAGCCATGTATTTTGGTGTAGTGTGAAGTACTGAACTATCCTTGTCTGTTACCTGTTCGCTATAGCTGCCACCTTTTTATTGCAGTACATGGTATGCATGTAGCAGAAACACAGTTACTGTTCTGTACTATGTCTTATTGTCACAAATTGCTCAAGTATCTCTTCTGCCTCTGAGGAATCTTTCCCATCTCTCTTAAGCTATCTTCAACATATTTACTTGTTCATTCATGGCTGTGTGTAACTGTTTAAGTTTATAGTCTCCTCAAGATCCAAGAGTAGCTGCAAGTAAGAACAAGAGGGTATATAATCATTATAATCACTTCCTCCATAAATATAGGCTCGCTTGTGTGGCACACTTGGAGGACTTCAGAGCACATTCTTCCTTGGAGAAAGTGACATTCTCATTACAAACTTCCTGTGAGGACAAGTAATCTGAGACAGAAGTGATGAAACAATTTTGTAGCTTATTCAATGGTTTGGCATTGTGTCCCCCCCCCCCCCCCCCCCCACCCTGAGGCTTCTTGTACTTTAGCATTTTCAGCTGTATATTATGGTCTTCAGAAAGTACTGCAGACCATCTCTGCATGATGAGTTGTCTTTATTTAGTATCTAACAACATGGATCATCTCAACATAGCATTATGTCCATGCAACTGCTGGTTGTTCCTGATAACAAAAAGCAATAGAAGGAGAAGAGAAGAGGAGATTGGATTTATACCTGTCAGGGTCAACAGCAAGCAGGTCCAAACACACTCTCCTGAAAAGGCTATGTTTTATTGGAATACTGGTCTGTTGCCAAGTGGTACAGGTACATTGTCAGGAATAATGAAGAGTGCAAGGGGCTCCATACATATACTCTGATGCTGCATCTAGCTAAGCAAATGAAATCCAAGCGTGTGTGCGGGAATTCTCCTAGTGGGGTATTACATCATGAACGGGAGACTCACCCCAATCCCTTGAGAGCAGAAATATTCACACCCGTAGTGGAATTCGAGCCCTCCCTTCCCTTCAAGGTTATACGGATAGCACTGTCTGGCTGAGCCAGTTCGCACGGGGGGGGGGGGTTATGTTACCCACATTAGCTAAGCAAAGCAAGCATGTGTGGCTTCGCAAAAGTCAGGGACGAAAGAAAACAAAGAAAGCATGGCAGCTAGCTGACAATACCCTGCCCTTCACTACCCAAAGGAGTCTCAGAGCAGCTTACAAACTCCTTTCCCTTCCCTTCCCCACAACAGACACCCTGTGAGGTAGGTGGGGCTGAGAGAGCTCTGACAGAAACTGCTCTTTTTCAACTACAGCTCTTATCAGAACTATGGCTTGCCCAAGGTCATCCAGCCAGGTGCAAGTGGAGGAGTGGGGAATCAAACCCAGTTCTCCCAGATTAGAGTCTGCACACTTAACCACTACACCAAACATGGAAATGCTCTGTGGGCTCTGTCCTGACTTTTTCTAGTCTCTACAGGTATTGGCAAAGATTCACAGACAAGCAGTTTCCAGTGAGCTGCTGTAAATGTTAGTCCCTGAGAAACAATCACTTGCCATGTTGAGGACCTATCAACCTCTGGAATATGTGTATTATGTTCAAATAATTTTGAGGTACAAAGAGATGGATAATTATGTTCAAAAACATCCATGGCTGACAACTCTTGTGCATGAACTTACTTTCTGGAAACTGCTTGAAAGTTTTGCTGCATAGGGAGAACTCCATTCTGCTTTGGCCTGTAAATGAATAGAAGATTGTGTAGAAGAGAGCCCTGAAACGTTTTATTCAATAAGCAGTGTTTTTTTGACAGTCTCATTCATTTTAACATGCTGGATACCAAGGCGTGTGTGATTTGCCCAAAATTTACTCTGTGGAATTATTCAAAGAATAAACTTTAAAGAAATCCTGAAGTGTGAGTTTTGGTATGGAATTCTAGAAAAAACAATTGTTTTTGTAATTATGGCTTAACTGTGCGGCATCTTTTTCATTTTCTTGCAGTATGATTCCTGCCCGGTTTTTAATGGAAGGGTGTGATGTCTTTAAACCTAAAGCAAAGACATTCATTCATTCACTTATGGAAAAATATGACTTTGCAAAGGTAGGTGGATGCAGGTTAAGATAGCAGAAGAAGCACTTGAAGGGGAATGCTAATGATTTAACATGTTATGGTCTTATTCAGTTTCAGACATGTGAAGTCAGGCATTGTAAAAATGCCTTTGCGTTGTCAGTGGTCCACAAGTCTGGGTGGAAAATCGTCTATTCTGGTGACACTATGCCATGTGAAGCTTTAGTTGAAATGGGTAAGTTTTGTGTTGTACTGTTGCTGGGGGAGGGGGGAGAGGAAGGAGAAGAACCCGGAGTAGTTTGGTAAGAAGCAAGAAGGTGTGCATGTGAGAGAGGCAATTATTACCTTTGTCTTCCAGGAGACCATGTTTAATGCTACTGGCCTGTGCCACACAAAGCTAGCTAGGATGCTCTTTTACCTGCCTTTCTGCAGTGTATCCATTGTAAGGAATGTTGTGAAGAAAGTCAAGAGATGTCCCTTTCTATAATGATATACATCTACTTTGAAAATGTCTAATCTCCATTCCACAAACGTGTTGACCATGTTGTCTTGCACAGGGAAAAATGCTTCTCTACTGATTCACGAAGCTACGCTGGAGGATGGCTTGGAAGAGGAGGCTATAGAGAAGACACACAGGTAAAAGAATTTCTCAGTCGTTACATAGGGACCCTTTCTCGTAGCATGCAGGTGGCAGGAAGGAAGTAAAAAGCTCTGGTTCTCTTGAATTCAGCTGACATTAGAGAGCGTATAGAAACAGAAGAATAGCATCAGTATATAGAATCATAAAATTCCAGTATATAGAATCATAGAATCACAGAGTTGGAAGGGGCCCTACAGGCCATCTAGTCCAACCCCCCTGCTCAATGCAGAATCAGCCCTGAGCCCTGAGCAAACCTGTTTGTCCAGCTGTCAGAATTGAGTCCATCTCTAGGGGGAGGAATGCAAGGACTCGACATGTAACTCAAGGCACAAAAAAGAACCATTTAATAATTCAAAACTACATCAGGTTTCATAAAATGTTTGCAAAAGCAGAAACCATTCTGAAACACAAAACCATAGCAAAAATTAAAAAGGAAGCCACTGACAAATAATAATTAAAAGACTGGCTTACGGACATAATAGAAACAATCGTTTCATGAACTGTGGGCAAGTTCCTTAAAAGTGGCTTGTCGTTCCAGGCTGAGGGAAGAGGAGTTGCTTCTGCATTGGCAGCATTCATTCAGTCCCGTCCCCACAGAAACTCGACGTGCCGCCTTGTATGAGGAAAGTATCCCCAGGCAGCCCTCTCTTCAGGCTGCCAGGTGCATGCAGTTAACAGTCAGCCAATTTCTCTCGAAACCGGCCAGGTCTCAAATCTGTAAGAACTTACAGATAGTAGTTGATAAGAGCTGTAAGATTTATAGGCTTACCAATAGCTAATCCTTCCACCAGCTGCTGCTTAAAGACTGCCAGTGAGGGTGAGCTCACCCCCTCCCTAGGCAGCTGAGTGCCGCATGACGGAGTGAGCTCCCATGTCTGGTTCCAGCTCCTGCCATCCTGGCAGTTCGAAAGCAAGAAATTGCAAGTAGATAAATAGGTACCGCTTCGGTGGGCAGGTAACAGCGTTCCGTGCGCCTTGGCGTTTAGTCATGCTGGCCACATGACCACGGAAACGTCTTCGGACAGTGCTGGCTCTTCAGCTTGGAAATGGAGATGAGCACCGCAGCCCTAGAGTCGGATTCGACTGGCTTTCGAGCAATGGAAGCTATACCTTTACTTTATCCTCTGCTACCAACAGGAACAGCCCTTCAAATACTTAAAGGGAGCAATCATGCCCTCCTCAACCTCCTCTTCTCCAGACTAAACATTCCCAAGTCCCTCAGCCTTTCCTCAGAGGGCTTGGTCTCCAAGCCCCTGATCATCCTCATCACTCTCCTCTGTACCCACTCCATTCTGTCCACATCGTTTTTGAAGTGAGGCCTCCAGAACTGCACACAATACTCCAGGTGTGGCCTGACCAATGCATTGTACAGTGGGACTATGATCTCTTGTGATTTGGATGTTATGCCTCCGTTGATACACTCCAAGATCACATTAGGTTTTTTTGTCACCGCATCACACTGGCTGCTCATATTTTTCAGTCCATCCATACCCCATACCCACACTGCTACTCAGAAGCGTATCCCCATCCAGTATGCATGTTCCTCATTTTTATTACCCAGATGGAGAACTCGGCACTTATCCTTTGTAAAGCCTGTTTGGTGTAGTGGTTAGGGGCACAGGCTCTAATCTGGGAGAACCGAGTTTGATTCCCCACTCCTCCACATGTAGCTGCTGGTGTGACTGTGGGTCATAAGTTCTTTCAGAGCTGTTCTCTCAAGGGCAGTTCTCGAAAGAGATCTCTCAGCCCCGCCTACCTCACAGGGTGTCTGTTGTGGGGAGGGGAAGGGAAAGGAGATTGTAAGCCGCTCTGACTCCTTCGGGTAGAGAAGGGCAGTGTATAAATCCAATCTCTCTTTTCTTAAATTGCATCCTGTTCACATCCATCCACTTTTCCAGTGTATTCAGTTCTCGTTGAATTCTGTCTCTATCTTATGGGGTATTTACTGCTTCCCCAAATTTGGTGTCATCTGCAAATTTAATGAGTAGCCCCTCCATACCCACATCCAGGTAATTTATAACAATATTGAAAAGTACTGGGCTCAAAACTGAGCCCTGTGGCACCCTGCTGGACAGCTCCTTCCATTCAGATGAAATGTCAGTAACAGAGGTCATACTGACTGGCCTGTTAGTTTCCTGGGTCATCCCTCCCTCCTTTTTTGAAAATTGGGATAACATCTGCCCTCCTCCAGTCTTGGCATGTTGTCCTCCAAGAGGTCTGGAAGATGATGGACTAAGGCATATCATCTGGCCTGGGGGATTTGTACTCATTCAGAGCAGCCAGGTGCTTCTCAGTTACCTCTCTGTCCATGTCAACCAGCAGCCCAGATGCTGTGACTTGCCTACTACCATCTCTACATGAGCCTGTTCTCTTCTTCCGGGAAAAAACTGAGGCAAAATAGGCATTAAACCTTTCTGCTTTCCTCTATTAAAGATTCTCCATTTTCACCCAACAGTGGGCCCATCGCCTCTTTTATCTTGTGTCTGCTCCTCACATGTCCGAAGAAGATTTTCTTGTTGTAGCGAGCCTTCCTGGCCAGCTTTAGCTCACTGTGAGCTTTGGCCTCTCTGATGGCTGACCTACAGTGCCTAGCAACCTGCAGATACTCTTCTTTAAAAAAATAAAAATAAAACCTTTATTAAGAATTAAAACAAAATCCATTACCAATTAGCCAGGAAAGCTGGCACAGATATTTTTTTAAATTTTTTTTTTTTAAATTTAACCATTTTAAACATTAAAAATTTCATTTTTTTTAAATGCAACATTCTTTGAGAGCAACAATTTCCATCTAGGTAAGCAATGAAAAAACATCACAAGTAACATTTTCTAGCTCCGTGTCTTGAACATTTCTTTTTTTCTCCTTTAGCACATCACACAGTTCTCTGTCCGCCTACATTGGCTTCTTGGGTCCCCTACCATGTTTCTTTCTTGTTGGAATAGAGATGGCTTGAGCTTGCCAGACCTTGTTTTAGGAGAGGCTACCCTTCACTTGCCCCCTTCCCTTCCAGCAGTCTTGCCCATGGAATGATTCTTCATCTCTTTGACCACCCTGACCTGGATGGCCCAGACTAGCCTGACCTCATCACACCTCGGAGGCTGACCAGGCTTGGTCCTGGTTAGTATTTGAATGGGAGACTACCAAGGGGTTGCTATGCAGAGGCAGGCAATGGCAAAACCACCTTTGAACATCTCCTACCTTGGAAATCCTACAGGGTTGTCATAAATCAGCTGCAACTTTAAGGCACTTTACACACACATCGCTTTGACCAAGCCAGGGTTCCAAGTCCATCGAGCCGCAGGAAT